TAATTGAATTTTATTAAAAAAATGTGGCAACCCTTGTGAAAGACTTCAATATTATTCAGAACTTTCAATCTAAAGGTTTCTTAACAATATTTCGTTTGACAACCATATTTTAATTCTTCAGATAGCTTGCGTATAATTAATTTAAATTTGACTTTTCAAAAAAAAGGCAACCCTTTTCAAGATATATTCAAACTACAGCTTTTCAAATCCTCTTGACATCCATTTTTAATATAATTTTTCAAAAAAATAACTCCCTTAATTGTTTTTCGATTGGCTGATGAATTACAGTTATACAAAAAATTATATTTGTGTGGCATATTTGTAGGGATTTTATGAAAAAATGAAATGGCAGCATGCTTCTCTCATGGCTCTCTTTGCACATAGAAATATAACTTGGAAATCAAAATTCTATTGTTCTCCAAGTTACTAATGGCGTTTTCTTTTCTACCCAAAAATGGAGGGGGCATTGAAAAGGCAACAGTTTTTGTAGAAAAGAAATCGCCATAAGTGAAGTTGGTTTTTTGAGTAACTACATACACGCGCTGCTCATTTGCCAGATATACAATTTTCAAGTCAAGTCAAGTCTAAGTCTTGCATAACTGAGCTTTTAGGTTTTGATATGGAGGATATGCTTAAATGTTGTAGTTGTAATTTTTAGAGCTTCACGAAAACGCTTATTGCACGAGAACTAATGAAGCGAATTCAAAGAAAAGTGTGGCGTTTCAAAGATAAAGTTCCAAACCTATCGGCAGATTCATTTTTGTAAGTAACCAATTCGGTTTCTGTCGTAAAAAGAACGGTAAATATTGGCTTATTTTGGGGTCAATTTTGTGCCTTTAAAGTGCTCCAGCAGCTTATGATTTGCAGATATATTATGTACATCTATACATTTTTCTGTGTAGATTTATTGCTGCTCCTCTTTATCCATACCATTTCAGACTTAAATAGATGAGAGAGGATTATGATTTTGAATTAAGTCGAAAATTTACGATATGAGCATTTCTTCCAGTCAATATACTCGAATACCCTATCAATGCCCTTCCCGTAGACTTTTTTACAAATTTACGATTTATAGACTACTTTTTAAATTAATATTAATATTAATAGAGATAATAGAGCAAAATTTTGCACTATGAAGCCCCGCCTTCAGGGGCCTTCCATTTGTACGCCTCTTCCTAACCTAACTTAATCTATCATTTTTGTAGCGGACGAATCGGTAGGCTATCGAAATGCCAATCCCTCTGCCGAAGAATAAAAATTACGCCCTACAAATATCTAATAATGCAAGTTCCTTTATATTTTACATAAACGTGGACGTTCCCAATCAAACATGAAAAGGCTTTGGGGCATTACAGAACTCGAAGTAAAACTGCCATACAACGATTATGCTGGCTTTGAACCGACATCCATGGGTGGACAACGAAAGCTCGGGGCGCCAACGAACAAAATCGAAGAATCAAGTGTCTGCACTCGGTATGAACAACTGGCGTAATTGGGTATGTTTTTTGGCCTCGGTCAAACCGGAAAAACGGTCATAGATAATGTGACCAACTATTTCTTAGCTCAAAGAAGTACAGCTTAGGTTAGGTTAAGTTAACGGAGCGAGCCGATTAGTGAATTTCGAATGCGGCTAATTTCGATCTCTGCGAGCTCAGCGTTTGTTCAGAAGTGCGAGCCAAAATGCTTCCATCTTAGCCTCGCGAAGGTTGGACAATGTAAAAGAAAGTGTGGAGATGATCCCACTTCATCTTCCTCTTGACGTCTGATACAAAAGGATCAGTTGAAATTCCTACTCTCAGCGCATGAATACCAATCGCACAATGTCCTGTCAGAAGCCCCATAATTAGCCCTTGAGAGGTAACGTGTTTTAAAGTGCCCTATAAAAACATTTCCTGCAGCAGTGAAACGTTTTATTTTACTTTTTTTATGTCACTAAATGACCCGGTTTCCCTTATCCTAACAGCAGTTCGAGCTGCGACAATTCTGTCTGCAATATCTGCAGGCGCCGTGTTCAACATATGTATTTTAAGCGTCAGTGTAGGTGTGGTTAATAATGCTCCGCTAATTTCTGTTTTACAATTAAAGCCTTCTCTAGTGAGTTCCACCAGACAAGGGCTCCTTGAAACAATATAAACTTAAATCTGGTTTCCCAGAGCTTATGAATTAATTGGACGAGAAACCCCACCTTTTACCGGTAGCTCCCCTACAGCAATACAAGGCAACCGACACCTTTCTTACCCTTTCCTCACGGCTTCCACGATAGCCGCCATTAATCACTAACCTAGTTACTTGGTTCAGGTAACCTGGGCTTGATCAAAAAGGGTGTATAGAAATCGTCTCTTAACCAAAAGTTCCACATCATCTACATAGGTTATCACCCGACAGCTCACTTTTTCCAGTTCCTCTAGAAAGTCATTTATAACCGCAAACCAGAGCTAGGGAGAGAGAACACCTCCTTGTGGAGTGCTCATATTGACTCTGTACTGAGTTTTGTCAAGAAGTAAGCTGTATATAAGCCATATTAGGCTGGTTTCCACCTCAACATTATGAATATACTTGACTATTGCCTCTGGAGTGACATTATTGAAAGCCCTCTCGATATCGAAGAAGGCCTCTACTGCATAATCTTCATACGTGAAGGCTTCCTCTGACCATTTTACCAATGTGTGCTGGGTGGTATTTACCGACATTTTCATGCAATAAGCATATTGAGCACTTGAAAGACAGTCACGAGGAATCCCGTTTCTTATGTACAGGCCTACCAGTCTCTCTAGAGTTTTTAGTAAGAGCGTGTTTAGCAAAAAAGAAAAGACTAGAATCCCTAGGGGAAACATGAAAGCCTTTTCCGGCCTTCGGGATACACGCAACACTGACTACCTTCCAAGCTTTGGAATGTAGCCGGTCCTCACGTAGTTCGCATAACCTTTCGCAGTTGTGCAGGTATGATGCCATTGGTCCCAAGCGATTATCGTCCAGAAGATCGGAAAAGGACAGGACCTGGGGAGAGATTCTGTAACCAGTTAGCGACACTTTTCGAATCTCTATCGCACAGTTTGACGCAAAAACATGCTCCAAAAAGTGCGATAGCGATCCGAAAATTATCGCTAACTGGTTACAGAATCTCCCTCCTGAAGTACAAAATATCGCAAAGAACTACATTTGACTGTACTTCGAAGTACGAAGTACAAGAGTGAAAAAATAAGTACTGTACTTTCGAAAGAAGTACGGTTGGTCACATTAGTCATAGTGCCAAATTAGAAGAAGTGTCGATATTTTGTCGGTTTTTTTAATTAAAGAACCTTCTCCTATAAAATTTACTTGTTGTTGATTAGATCGAAATTGCGGTAAAAGCTGAATATTGTTAAATAGCAAACTTTTAGCTAAACCTCACTTTTAATTAGCTACGGCAAAGCCAACTTAAAATGAGTTGTAAATTCATGCAGGAGTCATGCAGACGTAATCGGGAGTCTATTTTTTTTGTAAACAAGTTTCTGTTTAAATATTCCCACATAAAAATTACTTCAAATGCACTATTTTGTATTTCACAGATGCTTTTTCGAACTCAGAAAAAATTTAAATAACGTAAATTGAAGTTAGATTTCAGCTAACATCACTTCCTGCAGGCCAGTTTGGTAGACAATGACATTTGACAAACAAAACAGAGCTTTGAGAGCGTTGCTTTCTCAAGCGTGAAATCACGCTGTTTCTGTTGTCTTCTTACATTTGGATTTTAAAAGAATAGGTAAGACGTAAGACCTACTTTGCAGAGCAAGATTTATAGGGCATATCGACATCCACACGTTCACCATTAATTTGAATAAAAATGCATAGAGACTTATTCTGTATGTATGTATGTATGTATACCTGCTCACCGGTTAAAAGCTTGCAAAATTTGCGTAAACCTACGAGTACATATTTTCAGAATTATCATTCATTATATATTTACCTACTGTTTAATGCACTCTTCAGCAGTCTTCCTGTTCAGTCAACAGTAATTTAAACCAGTACGGAAGCACAAAACCAAAAACAAATGCACAAAAGTAGCCAGCGTCTGTGGATTCCATCTCACTTTTCTTTTATTGACAAAAAGCCAAAACATTTGGCGTTTTGAATGATTCATGGAGTTTTGCTTGAATAGTAAATTAGCTTCTTAAATGTTGTGAGGTAAACAAAAAGTGCTAAACGAGAAATTCAAAATACAAACGGCCACGAATGCACATAAATGCGTTAAACTACCCTGCAGGAAATGTATCTAACTATAAGTTAACTTAAAGTTGATTTCGAAGGAACCAAGGTCACTATTAGCTGTATATTTTCTTTGAGGAAAGCTTACTACATTTCAATGGCGATGGCCGCCAGAAAAACATTTTTTTTTACTTGTTAACTGGCTTCCAAAAAAGGAGGAGGTTATCAGTTCGTCGGAATAGTTTTTTTTTTTGGTTTTTTTTTATGTATGTTACCGCATAACTTTGAACCTCGTCAACCGATTTCGATAATTCTTTTTGGTGGTCCCATACTAATCTGGTTTAGATCCAATCATTGGATCATGAAATATATATACATATATATTTTTTTTAAGTCGGGTTTTTTTTGCTAAAAATTACTTGTTTATTTATTTACTTTATTTTATTACATATTATGCTGTATGTCATCCCATATTCAGAGTAAAATTTGTATGAGGATAGTTAATAGAAACTTGTTTAAAGAAAACAATCTCCCGATTAGGTCTGCATTACTCGGGCATTACTTTTCAACTAGTTTCATGTTAGCTTTTTGTAGCTAACCACAAGTTAAATATTTTATAGAAATCCTCCAAAAAAAGATAAATACTAGTTGGTTATTTTTTATCAATCAATAATTTTTTTCTGCAGGGTATGTTTGCACACACATACATTCATATGTATGTATGTATGTGTATACATTAGTACTTTAAGACCGCTTTTGTTTAGCGGGAGTTCGTGGAAAGGAATTTGCTGGAATTCACCTTATAAGATTCATTGCCGAAGAATGTACAAGTTAAGAGACAAGAAGGACAAAGGTGCTTAAAAAGCGTAGCAATACTAGTAAGTACCGACGTAGTGGGACTTAATGCTCTTCTCGTGTTAACAAATTTGTACAGATAAATGGTTTGAAATGGAGCAAGTGTGCGGATATTTAACTTGGAAGGTTTAGAAAAAACCATTGTCGAATATTTTCCCAATGTCAATCTCTGAGGATATCTACAGCTGGATAAGAAACCCGTTTTCTTGTGATCTGAAAATCAAACCTACTGGGATGATAAAGTAAGCTTTTGAAAACCTTCTAGACATCAGTGAAGACAGCACTTTGAAGGGGGCCAAGAGAGTTCTGGATGCAAGTGTATTCAGAAAACACTGCTGTTGGTAAGATGGCATTAAAAATGCTAGTGACTTTTACTTTCATATTTCTATGTGAGAGTGCATCCTCAACAAATGCTTACATAAAAAAACAAATACACCAGCAAGCTTTCAGCATCAAATGATTTCAGGCTAAAATTGTCAAAGCTCCCAATAAACTTAAAGGAAATATTGAAATCATCAAAACAATTTCAGTCCTCAAATTAAAGCTAAAGGAGCATAAAGTTGGCATTGTGTTTTCTTGTTTTCGTAGACATTTGAAGAGTAGGAGTGCCGCGGTGAACAAAATTTGGGAACGTCTGAGTCTATAAAGAGCATCCACTTTGCCAGGGCGTATGAAGAACTATGACAATGCAGAGAATTTTTTGACTCGAAAATATTACTACACACGAGGAACAGGTAATTTGGGTAGGTAATTGAAACTAAAAATAATAATTTTTTATAAATAAAATACGGACAAAATTATGTGCTGAATTCTTGAATTTGAAAAATGGAATCAAACAATTTTTTTGTTATTAAAAGGGAACCTTTTATTCTAGGATGGGATTATAAATTTTTTAGAGCTGTTATTTTTGGAAAATTAAACGACCTCGAATTAATTTACAGGTATCATATATCGAGCGCTAGATCCCAAAAAACGAAAGCGACATTTTTTCAAAATTTCATACGATGAAGATGACATTGGCCTTATATTTAAAGAGATATGTCAAGACTCGCAAAATTAGGCTAATAGGCTAATGTACCACAACAATTCGGAGGTCGATCGCTAAAATTTATAGACCTTTGTAATAACCTAACTTAAAGTCAAAAAATACTTCTACATATTGTGAGAAAAATATGGCACAGGGAATTCCAAAATACTTTCACTTGCTAAAATTTGTTTCTACTTTATGCCGATTGTTCATACATACATATGTATATTAATTAAATGTAAACAAAATTCTCAATTAGTTGTTGTTGACAATTGTTGACGTTCTAAAAATAATAATAATAAATAGAAAACAAGTTAAGTAATGGTAGGCAGATCAACTACAACTACAACCAGAGATCAAAAATGCACAGACAAAATGACTAATGATTCGTTGAATAGTGCATACATATGTATGTATGTACATAT